CTTTCAATTTTTTACCTTTTTTGTCTGAGCCAGGGCTGTAAATGACTTTTTGAAGGTTACATGTTCTGGGACAGTCCCATGATGGAATGTGGAGTTGCTGCTGAGCTTTGGGCATGTTGCTCCGCACAGGCAAGGAATGGCCACTGTATGCCAGTTCTCACAGTGTGGTGCAGCATTCGGTGCAGTCGGTACAGTCCACATAGATGTTGTGCAAAACCCTGAATATAATGAATAACGTGGCATGTCCTTATGGGTGGTTTTGCTTCCCTTGTATTTCTGGAATCAACAGGTTCCTGTGAGATGTGCTCAAGGGCTGCACAGTACTACCCAATGAATTAGCAAAGACTTCCAAGAAAATAGTCAGAAAGGTAGACTGCTATTTTGATGAGACTGTTTTAGACTAAAATGGCTGTATGCAGCAGCTTTTAATAGTAACAAACATTTCCACTGGCTTCCTGTCCTTTTTAGTTTAGAATCATTGGATCATTTTCTGCTTGACTGAGGTTAGTCTTTTGTTAGCCGTAAGAGTACACAAAGCACCATAAAGAGTGCCATCTTTCAGCTCATTCTGGATTTATTATCCCTGCTTGTATCCTGTTTCATCCAAAGTGCTCAGTGGTATAGTCATTGGAATGTGTTGGATGAGGGCTGAAGATGCTGGTTCCAATTGTCCTGAGTCATGAAATTCATTGGGTGACTTTGGGGCCAAGCACAGTTGTCAGTGTAACCTATCTTACAAGCTGGTTGTGAGGATAAAATGGGGGAAGAAAACTATATGTCTTGAGCTCCCAAGAGAAAATGTGGGATCTAACAAATTAATAAATAAAAAAGGATATTTTAACTTTCTCCTTACAATGACCATGTGGAATAGATTTTGCTGAAAGTTTATGATCAGCATAAGACCCTGGCTGAAAGGGAACTTCAACCTAGTTTTCTTAATAATAGCCTCAATATCTTAATTGCAATATTTATCTATCTTAATATTTATATATTGTCCCATAGGCTCTGGGCAGTTAACAAGAAATTAAAAACAACAGTGAGTAATATTGGCTAAGACAACATATTAAATAAAACTGACATGAGAACTAATCTGGGAAGGGCTATAGGAAGAGATACATTTTTAATTCCCTCTTAGAGGTGGGTATTTGGGAAATCAGACCTCTCTCTTCTGGCAGACCATTCCACAGCTTGGGAGTAACCGCTAAAAAAAAGTCCTCTGGGTAGTTGACATTAATTCTGTAGAAGTAGACTTCAGCAGATTATCTCCAGAGGACTTTAGCTGGCAGGTGGAATGTATCGGCAAAGGCACTCCTGAAGGTATTTGGGACCCAAGCCAGGAAGGTCTTTAAATGTAGTTACCAATACCTTGTACTGTATTTGGAAACATATTGGCAACTAGTGGACAGGTGATATGTGGTCTCTCTATGAAGTCCCAGAGACCAACCTGGTTGCCATGTTTTGTATTTGTCACAGTTTCCTGAGCAGGCACAAAGGTAGCCCTATGCAAAGTACATTGTAGAAATCAAGCCTAGAAGTTACTAATACATGTGCCACAGTTTTCAGGTAATTCTTCTCCAGGAAAGGATGCAATTGAATCAGCTGAAGCTGGGAGCAGATACTCTTGACCACAGCTTCTATCTAAGGTGACATCTGAAGGGCTGGGTAAAGTAGCAGCCCTGAACTGTGAACACAGTCTTTCAAGTATTGCTTGACATATCTCTAATTCTGGATTTGGATCCTTAACCAGCAAGCACCTCTGTTTTGTCCAGATTCAGCTTCAATTTGTTTTTTTTTTTTCCCTCATCCAGTCCATTACCAGCTTCAGGAAGTAATTCAGAGAGATAATGGTAAGGAGAAATAAATCTGAGTGTCATCAGCGTGCTGATAACATCCAATGCCACTCTTCCAGATGATCTTTCCTAGTGGTTTTATGTGGATGTTCCTGGAGACAGAATGGAGTACTGTGGGACTTTACATGTCAGCTCCTTTCTAGAGGCACAACAGTCTCCAAGCATCACTGTCTGGAACTGACCTGAGAGGTAGGACTAGAACCACTGCAAAACAGTGCCTCCAATTTCCAACTCCCTCCGATGATCCAGAAGGATACTATGGTGGATAGTATCAAAGGCTGTTGAGAGACCTATCAGAACCAACAGGGAAGCACTCCCCCTGTTGGTTCTGACTCTTAGATCATCCTCTCGAGTGACCAAATCAGTCTCAACTCCATGTCCCACTCTGAAGCCAGTTTGAAATGGCTCCACAAAATCAGTATCACTCAGGAAGCTGGAGAGATACTGCTGTCTTGATCATCTTATGAAGAAATATTTGTATATATTTGTACTAAAATATTTATAATTGTTATGTTGTACAACAGGATCCCAGCTATAATGTGTGTAGTTAGCATGTATTGTAATTCAGATTATTTGAGGTAGTGAAATTGACCAAAATAAGGAGCATAATTACCTTGTCTAATTTAGAGTATACACTTATTGCCAAAGTTCATTTATTTAAATTGCCTCAAAGAAACAGTGTTGACCAATACACAGAGTGCTCACATTGGACATAAGGCTTTGGGCTATGTTCCTGTAAAGTAGCTTTGAGCAAGTGGCTCATTCTCAGCTTCAGCCCCACATTTGAAATCAGAGTTTTTAACTTACTTCACAGGATTTCTGTGGAGATAATCAACATTAAAGACGGGGCAACACTTTGCACATTAAACTGTTTTAATATCATCAGTGCCTGTAAATCCCCAGTAGATTCATTTCTAAACGTGTAATTTGATGGAGATTAATTTAAACCCTTTGAACTTGTACTCAGTGCAAGGCAGAGGAGTACTGAAGGCAATTTTCACCTCCTTATTCCTCTCATTCTACATTTGAGCTAGGTTGCCATTTTTCTGTGTTTAAGAGTGGGAAGGAAGGAGGCTGGGGTGGTTCAGGATAGTGTTTCCTTGCTGCACAAGTCTCCACCCCTCTCTGTCTCCCCAAACACCCCCTTCTAATCCCGCTCCAAGATTGCCCCTGACCTTGGAGAGTAGCTGGCACAATTCTTTCTGCAAAGTGGCAGGAGAGCAGGGGAAAAGCTCTGGTTGCATCCTCTGACCTTGGCACTAGAAAACCAAACTATCATATGGTTCTGCAGACAATGTTTAGGGGTGACTACGTAATTCCCTCAATCTCCTTTAGTGAAAAATCCTTCCCTCTGAAGCAAGAACCCTTGTCCAAGTACTATAGCATCTTGCCCATCTACCCCAGAACCCCAAAACAAATGGTGGACTTTTCCTCACCCCTCATTAAACTTACACTAACCTTGAATAAATATAATTTTGGACAAGGAATACTTTTGGTGCTCCCATCCCACTCAGTTTTGCAGTGTTGTCTAGTTGTGCAGAACTGCAAAACTTAGCAAAGTAACATGTGTTCAGCTAATTTTTATTAAGAATAACAGGAATCTAACCAGAAAAGAAATACATTTAAAGCTGATTAATGGATGTTCATCCTAGCAATGCTGAAAACAAGCTGTGAAATTTTGGGGAAGAGAAGGCTAAAGTTATACAGTGTTTTTATGTTATTTTCCTAACTCTTTGCAGAGAATATACTCAATGAATAGCAAGCCACTGTATTCAGCTTAGTGCTTCCTTCAGCTCAGTGCCCAGGACAAGTACTCAGCTCAACCATACCTGAATTCAGTAACTTTGTAAAACAGAAAAATAATTTTGCCATTGTATACTAGTAAGAGTGAGGGGTGGGCATTCATGTGTCTGTAGTTGCATGATGGGTACAAGGTGCATTAAAGGTCTTGATGATCTTGAACGTTACCAGTAAAGTTCAGTCACAAGACTTCATACAGACTTCAGAAGAGTTCTGTGAACCTCAGTGTTTATACAATAAAAGCATAGTTGGAAATGAAGACTTCATGTCCTATTAATGATCTTTTTCAAAGCCTGATTAATTTTCCTTCTGTCTACAGGTCATAATGTACTTAAGTGATGCATCAGAGAGCACAAGGGATACATGCCTGGTGTGTTGTATTGAGTTTTACAACTGAGTTTTACAAACAGAGGAAGAATACCATTCCCCTAATCATTAAAAGGTGCACACCAGTAGGATCATACTGGGTGTACATCTGCTTTAGACAGAAATTGGTGTTGATTCATGAGAAACATTGCCAAATTCCAGGATGTACTTTGGAATACTAAAGCCGCCTCGAGGCTTCGGCGAATGGGGCAGCATAGAAATGTTTTAATAAATAAAAAAAGGATGTGCATATTACATAACTTTACTGCATAAAGTGCAATGCATGTAGATCTTAAAATCAAAACAAAACCTAGCAGAACACATTTCCATAAAATAGTATGGAACATTAAATAACTTCTGGAATATATTCAAGTGTGATGGCTACTCAGGCACTTAATGAGCTTTTCTGTCATGTGATTCAGCAGGTATAAAGACATTACATAACTTGAGTGATACAGGTTTTCTTCCATACTGGAGTTTTGAGAAAAACCACAGTTAAGAAAAGCTAATGATAGATGCCTGTGGTACTGTACTTGATATTAACTGAATAGCTACTTACAACAGGAAATTAAAAAAATAATTATCTATCTTCCATCTGATTCATATCGAAAAAGTAACACGACCTAGTTAAATGTAAGATATGGTTGTGTGAATCTTTTAGAACAAGTGACAAAAGTCTCACTTACTTGAGCTGTTCATATCTTAGTTCTATCAGCAACACCCAGAGAAATTCAGCTACTGGCTGACATAGAAAAAGTGATGATGCAAAATTACCAAACATTTTGCTGCATGTAAACTATATGAAAAATGTGTAAATGTAAAAAAAGGTTTAGAGAAACTTGAAAAAAAAAAAAAACCAGTAAAAATTACAGACAGGGACTCAACACATTTAATGAGCTTTTTTTCTTTCCATTTACACTATCATAAATTACAAAGCATTTCACTTCACAAAATAAAACAATTTCCATACCATTTTATGACAGCATTTAGTACATAACCTACAACAATTAAATCTGTACAACTTAGGAGAATCCCTAGTAGTATTGTACCAGCAAATCAGACCTCACTAATATCTGGCCTGCAGCCTGGGTCTGTCTACCTAGCCCTTGGTGACCTGTGTAAAGAATAGCTAATATACATTATTTCCTGTGCCTCCTTTTGTCTTCACTCTTTTTTCATTATCAAAGTTAGACACATTTTTAAAAATTTTGTATAGAAACCTGGTATCCCTAAAATAATTCAGGAAACAGAATAACTGGGTTTCAAAACTTGTGATTCATACAAATCAAAAGGAGAGCTTAACACAGCTACCAATATTGAAAATTCAGTTTTGTAATAAACTATGCTATCTTCCTGTGTTTGAAATATTTATACAAAAATCTCATGATGAGAAAAAATCTAATATTAGAATGAATTGCATTATATTAGATTGAGAGGTCAACCTCTGGAAAGTCAGAAAATCCCCCCATGAGTTTTGGTAATATACCAATTCTCTCTCTCTGTCTCTCTCCCTCCTTCCTTTTCTTAACAAATGTTCAGTAAGACATTGAAGAGAAATGTTACATTTTAAGTAGCTTTACTTTTATAAACACAGAAGCAAAATAATGCATCTTGGCATTTAAAAATGATAACAAATTGATTCTAAATAAGTGCTAAATTTCAGCAAGACCAGAAAATATCCTGGTCTTATTATACACACTACTATATCCCATGAAAGAAATGTTAAGTCTAAGTAGTTGATGCTAGTGCCAAGACTGTTTTAAATTCTTCAATGCCCCTCTTTTAGAAGAGGATGATAAAGATAAAGATAATACTGTGCTTGTTCCAGAATACCTCTAAAAGGAAAGAACACTAATAATTTCTAGATTATAACACAAACCAAAGAATGGTAAGAAATGCATGATAAACAAACTATTTATGAAGAAAGAGGTATTTTGGAATAATACTGCACTAGTGGTAAATGTTTTCATTATGCCATAGCAATAATGCTTAAGAGGAATATATGGAAAGTCATCAATGCACCGCATTGAATTATATTTTGCTAAAATAAAAAAGACATTCCTGCAGCTAACTAAAGCAAAAATATATTTTAAATACATGTTTTGTTTCACTTTAGACATATATAATTATGTCTTACATAGAAAGAAATTGTATATCCATATACAACTAACACTGACAAATACCTTGATCTTAACTATCTTGGATAAGACCAAACATCTTGTGTGTGCAGTGCTTTCTGATGCTCCTATGTGAAAGCAGATGTTCCCACAAATATGGGAATTCTTCACTCTGTATGCAGAGCATTCTGCTGGTTGAAGAAGAGAACCAAGGATCATCTGCTTGGACAGCGCTCTATCAGCATCAGAGCAAATCAGAGGTGCTGGATCATGGACATTTGTTGCAATCCTGCCACTTCAAATTTATCATTATTCTTTGTAAGAGGAAAATAACTGAAAATATCAGCATGTTCTAAGCTCCAGATTATGGTATCTTGAGGAAATAAATTCCACTGAATTGGATGGCACTTATTTCCACAATGACTGGGATCTATAGATGATCTTTGTATGCAGAAGTGGGTGGTAAGCCTGCAGTGAGGATTCCCAGCGAAGGGACAGTAGGAATTTGTTTCCACATGTGGTTTACCCTGTTAGAATGGGGGTCCTGCTATAATCCTACAAATTAATGTGTTGAAACACAGTAATGTTTAAGAATGAAGCTGGAAGTACCTTTTTGCTTCAGTGATCTAAATAAGCATACAAAGTTTTGTGTCCTTTAATAAGTTAACAGTAGAACAGTCTGTAAAGAAGCAAGGCAAAGGATACAAGGCAAAAGGAGTCTTTTTCTGACCTTTGTTCTCTCTCAAATAATAAAAAGGTATATGTCTATGAGACATACACTTTACTAAATGTTTTGGTGTTCATCTGTCACACTGCATAAAATAAAGTGTTACTCATGTTTCTTTCTCACATGGGGATGTGTTTCCCTTAAACTTACATTTTTCATAGCAGATGGCTATGAAATGTACAGATTTGTTTGTCTAGAACAACACATCTTCATTTTCTATTAATATTTGCACAATCAGCTTCTGGTACCGCATGTCATTCAGTGTAGCAAGGGTGCTATCTTCTGGGGGTCTCATTAAAGTAGGTCCAAACACGATTCCCAGATTTTCAGCATTCATAAAATTGTATTTTTCATTCATGGTAATTCTAAAGGTGGAAGGAAAAACGTAAAGTGATGACAATTTGAGGGGGCAGTACATGAGCACAATTTTTTTGGTAGAAAGGCAGGGTAAGACACTTCCACTTTAAGATGCAATCTTCGTTTCATTAGGGGAAATAAAAATTCCTATGCCTCTAGAACTGTAACAGAGGACTTTGTTGCCTAATGATCACTCTTGCTTAATGTGTTGACTATGTGATATAATCCTCAGCCAAGATTCTGTACATCATTTCCTAACCTGGTACTCTCCAAATGTTTTAGATGGTAATTCCCAGTTTTCCTGTCTATTACTGATGCTAACTGAATTTCATTTCCAGAAAATTAAAATAGAAAGATCCAGTCTGAAGGCGCTTCCAGATGAAATTGTCTTAGCAGGCACTCTGCAGCTATTCTGCCTTTTTTTTCTGAATTGATTTTACATGGTGAAGTCTGAAGTCTGAAGAAGGGGTGGGTGCGGGGGAGTGGATTGTGTGACAAAGATGATCAGCCTGAACTTCCTGTAAATTCTGCAAATATAGGCAGGGCAAAAAAGGCTTGTCTGGACACAATACAGGCTAGCCTTAACTTGAAATCAATTGAACTGAGTAAAGAATGAATCATTTTATTCAACCCCAAATATTGAATCAACTATGGTATCTACCATGATTTAGTGTACTAATATGTATAACTGGTAGAGATATAAAATTTTGTATGACATTATTCAATGGATGTGCCAAATAATAGAAATCTGAAGACCCAAAATGGTCCTATGATGACAATTTAGAGCCCAATTCACTAGGTTGCTTCCTTGTTCATATTGCTTATGGCCATTCCTTGCACTAAATCACTAAAGGAAGTGATAGAGGCAATCTCTTCTTCGCTTCTGGTCTCCTCTCCTCCTTGCTCCCCAGATTGCTCCCTTGACCCCTTTTCCAAGGTCATTTATTTGCCAGCAGGAAGCGTCCAGTTATATCGCAGCTGCAAAGTGGGGAAAGGGAAAGAGAGAAGAGGGCAGAAGGAGTTCTGCAGACAGAGCTCTGCATCTGACCTTGGACTGGCGAATACAGTGAACTCCTCTGGCATCCTAGACACTGCCTTCTTTATTTTATAAAGCAAAAAAAGCAAAATAATAATTTGACTGGCCTGTTAACTTGCCTGTAAAAAGTTTACTTTTTTACAGCCAAGTTAAGTTTACTTACTTTTTGAGATGAATCATCAGGTATCGAAGAGTCTCATAGTGTGCAGCAGGAAGTAACATCAGCACTTCATGGACAGCTTCTAGTCTTTCATCAGGACTGGAGAGTTCTATGTAACACAAAATGTATTTATGTAAGCTTTATCAGATGTACATTAAATCAAGTTAGATGAACAAACAAAATATTTGCATTGGAAGGGGTTTGGACTGCTAATGTTAAGGGCACAATAGAGAAAATCGGGGGGAGGGAGGGAGAGAGAGGGAGGCCGTATCTCATTACTTACTTGCTGCCTCTATAAACTTGGAATAGGTATCATAGGTAATAACAGGAATGGGTAAATCTCTGAAATACAGTTTTAGTGCACCAGCAATTATATTTATGTCAGGATATATACTGGCAGAGACATCTACCTTGTCACCATCTAGAAAAGAAAAAGTTTTAAAGAGTTAATTTTTATTTCAGTAAAGTTAGATATTCATTAATTTACTTTTAAAAATATATTGGCTTAAAATCACTGGAAAAGGAAAGGGCTGATTTTGGACTTAGGAGAAGGGGTTGCAACTACAGCACAAAGTTGGGGTGACCTCAGCCTATTATCATCTTCCTAACTTGGATCAGCAATCTCTTCTCTCAGCTAAAATGAGAAGCTAAATGAGAAGCTGAACAGCTAAATTGTTCCCTCCTTGAAAGTTCTGTTGTTCCTTCTATATTATTGCTTTATTCATGCAGGAACATGTGCTCTTGTTCAAGTCTTGCACAAATCACAGCTAATGGAGCTAATTTAGCCTGAAACAACTCATCCCATAAGCACATTTTCCTTTGTTTTGCCATAGAAGGTTTTTATCTGCAATTTTTCCAAGTTTAGTTATTTGTCTGACATTCTGCAATGTCAGACAAGTAAGCAAAGGTGAGTACTTTTGTGCTAGATTAGAGGTTTCAGCAAGGGGCGGCATAGAAATGCTATAATAATAATAATAATAATAATAATAATAATAATAATAATAATAATAATAGATTAGGCCCAGAATGATTTGTATAGGACTTACCCAAAAACTTACGTTCCTGCACCAGTGCAGCATTTTTAATCTGCCTCCCTGCTCTGGGAAAATGCCTAAGGCACCTAAGATTCAGACTGAAAGTAACTGAACAAATAAAAAAGGGCAGATCAAATTAAAACAGTTGCAGAGAGTAGTAATGAATGACCCACCTTTGGCCAGGTTAAATACTTGCCAGACTAAAAACATCTTGAATGAAAAATGGAGTAATAATAGGGATGGGACAGATGGGCCTCCTTGAATCAAACTTAGTGGTGTGTAGGAGCACAAGGGAAGAAATGCTTCTTCAAGTATCCCACTTCCAAATTGATGAGGTTTTTATTGGTGATAACCAGCACTTTGAATTGAAGCTAGAACTGGAACACAAGCTTGTGAAACTGCAGTAACCAAGAAATCACAGGATCCAGCATATTAGCATTCTGGATTCTGCTAATTCTGTACCAGCTGCCAGATTCTGTACTACCTGATTCTTTGGAATGTTTTTCAAAGTTAGCCTCTTGGTGCAACTAAATATAAATTTGGTTAGTGATTATCTACCCTTTTCTACTTTCAAAAGCAGTAATAACCCTGCTTCCTAGCTATTGTTTTGAACAGGATATGTACAGTTATTCCTTCCCTAACACTTTATCAGCACTTTATTTTGCTTATCAAATGACTGCAATAATGTATATTTCGCCTAACAAAAGTATTTGAATTGCTTTTAGAAGTGCTGTGGCTTAAACCTCTGACATTAAACCTGAATGGATATAATATATCTACTGTTTTAACTTGTGCAAGTTGTTGTAGGTGTTTAAATTTGGTTTTAAATTTGGCTGCTATTAGGATTATTATTATTGCTTATTATTATATACATAATTATTATATATTATATAGCAACATCATCATCATCATCATCATCATCATCATCAATATCCTGTCTTTTCCCTTCTTGTGAGGAACCCAGGCAGCTTCCAAAGTGTTCCTCCATTTTATCTTCACAACAATAACTCTATGAGATAGATTAGACTGAGAGTGAGTTACTGGCCTAAAGTCTCCTACTGAGCATATTTGTCAAGCGGAGACTAGAGGTCAGATCTCCCATGTCCCCAGTCCAATACTTTCACCACCACACTGTATTGGCACACATTTTGTACTGAAATTTTATGATGTTTGTACTGTTACCAGTATTTTATACTGTATTTTATTGTGTTTTATATGTTGCTGTAAACCACCCAGACAGCTTTAGTTATTGAGTGTTATAAAAATAAAATTAAGAATAATAATGTGACAGTACTTCCTTTAGGACCTATATACTCCATAGTTCATTAGGAAGGGCAATTTGTAAGTTTAACACTACAGTTATAAGCTGACTTATTTTTAACTATATTGTATTAAATAAGTTCTATTATTTCCAATTAAATTTAAGATTAGCAGCCTGTTATCAGATATTCTAAAGTAAGCCCACATATTAGCATTTAGAGTGATAGAGCACCACTTGTCCCATCACAATATTTATTCTGCCCTGGCCAGCCTTATATTTATCCTCATTTACTTGGCACGGTAGCATTACTATTATAAAACTTTGTTTGGACAGCTCTGTTTAATTGCGGTACAATGATTCTAAAGTATTACAGTGAAAGCAAATACTTTGAAAAATATTGCATCTGTCTCCATATCCATCCAGACAGAGTACAGCAGAATGTTGCCTCCAGGAACCACTGGATAGCAAAGTCACTAGTTACTAAATAAAATAATGGTGACATTTATTGATTATTATAGTACGTCATATTACAGGAAAGTTTAAATGAAGTCAGCATGCATTTCTTTGCTTGTAACCTGCTTATAGACAAATAGATGAGAAAAGATTGTAAAAAGACCACCCAACAACCAAAGCTGTCTGGTTCATAAAGCACATTGAAAACCCCCGATAAAAGATAAATTATCTAAAAACATATTAAAATATAATTTTAATATTAAAAGTTTACAATACAAAAACAGGTGTGTGTTTCTGTGTGTGCATGTAATAACAAAGAAAAATTAAAAATTTTCAGACCTATTAGCAGCTCAAAAGCCCCAGAAGCTACTTGAATGCCCTGCAGTAGAAGACGGGCTTCGTCTGGCATCGAAAAGATAGTTGGTGCCAGGTGGACCTTAGTGAGGAACTTGCTCAATAACTGTGGGCCGCCGTTGAAAAGGCCCTTTTTCTTGTTGCAGTTGGAGACAGACCCCAGAATTTGATCGTAGTGTCCAGGTATAAGAAGAGTGGGAGAGGCATTCTGTCAGCTATTACAGTTCTAAGCCATGTAGGGCTTTCTAGGCCAACACCAGTTCCTTGAATTGGCTTGCTTAGAATGGTAGTGGTGTTGGATTTAATGTATTTATTGACTTAGAATATTAGAACTTTATTGAGAATCAATTGGCTGGAGAAAATAGCTAAATGAAGTTTTAGAAAGCAATGGTTCTGATAAAGCATGCTACAGTACTGCCCATGGTTCATCAAAGCAGCTTTCTCCAAGCTGGTGCCTTCCGTATGTCTTGGGCTACAACTTCTAGCACCTTAAGCTAGTCATGCTGTCTGGCAGTCCTGGGAGTTGTAATCTAACATGTCTGGAGGGCACTAGGTTGGGGAAAGCCAAACTAAGAGATCTGCTTTATAAACTAGCCACAACTCTGTGCAGTTATGTTTGTTTACCACTTTCCTTTTCATCAGCTCTCTTGTTCTGAATAACTCAAAAAAGCTAAGGAAATGATAAAAGGAGTCTGAGCTTGTTGTCGGGAAAGTCCTAATAATTATGCTTCTGGAATGAACCAAATGAATGTTTACCTTTAGATATAAATGCAATAAACAAATAGTAAATACCACAATGATTCTGCTTTTCTTGTGGTTCTAGGCAACTCATATAAACTAGTGCAAAGCGGAGGAGAAGGCATAATTCCAGATGTTTTGGACTTTAATTCCCAAAAGCCCCTATGATCATAGTGAATGGTCAGGAATGCTGGGAACTGAAGTTCAGAACATCAGATCTCGTTTGATGCACCTCATCTAGTGGATGGTTGAACTTCAGTAACAAGTTAGATGTTATTCTGATGAACTGTATTATTGTTATTCAAAATCTCCAGTATTTTACCAAACCACCTTCCAAAAGGGGTTATCCTGACATGGTAAAAAAGCAGTGATTTCTATAATTATTTTGTGGTGAGAATCATGTTTATTCAATGCTGACTAAGAAGAGAAATGGTTTTTGCCCACAATTTGCTTTCATGCTGAAAGTGTATTGAACCATTAACAAGAAAAAAATGCACCAAATCTTTATAAAATATGAAGAGACACACACACACATACCCAGAGCAAGAAAATAGAGTAACAACACAATGTTATACATAAAATATGTAGTGCCAAGCAGGACAAATAACAAACAAGCAGGCTCAGAATGCATTGGTCACAATGAGAGCCCTATGAACACATTGTACAATGAATGTTTTATATGCTAGCAGGAACAGAACTGGACAACAACAGCGGTACAGAGAGCAACTGTTGCTGCACAGCATCCATATTCATTCAGTGGAAGAATAAACAAACTTGATTCCCATCATACTTACCAATGCATCAGTGGAATTAGCAATCACAACTGGTCTTATTTTTATTGTAAAGCTCATTTGTCCTTATAATTTGTATACTTTTTTTTACAGCTGCGGTGAACAACATGTGACCCTTCAGATGATTTGACTGACAACTCCCATAAGCCCTCACTAGGGCCAAAATATCTAGATGTCTACAAGCTTTATGGGTAGTGGGACAAAATCCAATGTACAGAATTAGCATGTGGTAAAATCCTTCCAAATTACTGAATGTATAAATGCTTAGCTATGTAAAAAGGTCTTTATATATAGCATGCTAGCATTCAAGGGAGAAGGCTATAAACACAAGTGAGGATCTCAGATTAATACCTACTCAAATAAAAATGATTTTTGTTTTTTCTGATAATTCCAGAAAGCTTTACAATGAAGAAAGAAACCCTTATTATCGTGTTATTTTATTTTAATGTCTTATCTACCAATTCTATTCCATATATTTTTAGCATTGTGCTGCTATTCTTCACTCCCAGTAGAACATGCTTTGATTTACATGCTAAATGCCAACTGAAGTGAATAAACTACAAAATATTGTGTATATAACTAATGTGGTAGAGAAACAGCTCTTTCTTTTCCTAGTTAGCCCATCAAACATGAGCTAGTTCAATGAACACAGGGTATGTACAAGCACAGGAGAGCTGACAGGTATTCAAAAGCTAAAACATACTGTACCTCGATCAAAGGCCATTTTGACATCTTCAATGTGTTCAGTGAACCCTGAGACTCTGTAAATCCCTTCTGACTTCAAGCCTGAAAGCCAAAATTTCATCAGCTGCTTTTAAATAAATGTGCAGATACATTTTCATTCTACTTTTTCACTTTACTTTTACTTCCTTTTGAATAAGTATGTTTCTGTCTTCTGAATTCTGCCAGGAGAACTTAAAAGTGTTTACCATATCGTCATCATTTCACGGTATGTCAGTAAAGTAATTTTGGTCCCATAAGAGCAAGTATCCTGAGAATCACTGCTTTTCAAGTTTTAGGTAAGGAAATTGATCAATAGGCTGATTATGATAGGTTGGGTTCATTAGTTTGGAAGTGTGGGTGATGCTTCTTAAAGAAAAATGTACTTTTTTGTAACATATGAATGTTAAACATTAGACTGACTTTACATAATGAAACGTGGCCATGGAAGACTCTCACTGAATTTAAAGGACATCTGTGTTCAGGCAGATGCAGTATTACTGGCAATTCTCTCCAAGGTTGCTTACAGAGATCCTTTCAAGCTCACTATCCTTTCTAGTGAAGATATACAAGTTTAATTTAGGTCCTTTATCTAAAACATGAGTTCTGGCCACTGAGAAATATCCTTTCCAATCCAATGATGACTTTACTATTAGTCCTTCTAATTTAATTTTAATTAACAGATTGAGACCTTTTGAAGTTAATGACTGAGAGAAGTTAATTTAAGGCAATTCATGGAACAACAGTTTCCTGTCTCTTCTTTTATCCTATATCCACAGGTGAACATTGGAAAGTAAAGTGTTGGCCCTTCAATCTAAATTCAAACCACAGCACACAAGGAGCTGAGGTTTAATCTTGTTTCCTACAACTCCCCTCCCCTCCCCATTTTATCCCTGAATACTGCATGGCAGAAGGTGTAGAAAAGGATTAATCTTGGTAGAGAAGGATTAATCCTCCCATCTCTTGATATTACATGCCCAATCTGAATCGGGCCCTTGTGTTTACACTGGAGTTAAAATAAGAACAGGCATAGCTACAAACTTCGTATTCAAGTATACAGAGTTTGACAATGAGACTCCATGTAAGTTACACAGAACCTTAAAATATTCTCACAATTTAAGGGTTCTGACAATGCAAGAGAGATGCAGTGTTAGGCTTAACATATGACAAAATATTTAAGCCTATATGCTAAAAGCGTTAAGTTAAATATAATATTGGTATGCATTTATTTTTCTCAGTGAATTTTCATTGACTTTTATATGGAAAGCGAATGAATTTCCACTACATATTCCAGTAATTTTAAATGAAGGTACAGAGTATTTAATTGGAAATTTTCAAATAAATGTTAGGGAGCAGATTATTTTAAAAAATACAGAATATACCTAAATAGTTCAAATAGAGCTCTACAACCTGCAGACCCCAACACACAAGTGAGTCCTTGCCTTTCCATTTTAACTGAAAATTTCCTTGCCCATATTCTCAACAGATCCATATGAGAACTTTTCCTCCAGAGGTCCTCATAATCGATCAAGTTCCCCTGTTGCACCGAGCACTGATAAAGGAGCAATCTAGATCCAGATTATTGGGATACGCGTGTGTGTGAGTGTGCATGCATGTATACGTTTGTAGATCTTATGTGTAAACATATGCATGCATGTACGTGAATGATGTCTGTGTCCTTGAGCCAGCATCCTTGAGCTGGGCCTGAAAAGGTTGTGTACTTTGGACTAATAAAATAATTTACATTAATAAGTGGGAAAAATCCCACAATTTCTTCAACAAAATGAAGTAATTTTTCAAATAAACACACTCAATTAATCACTTACAGAACCTAAAAAAAATAAAGAAACCAGCTTTGCTATATTAGCTGGTCCTCAACATAAAATATGCAGTTGAAAACTATTTAGACTTGAGTCTATCTGATGGTTTTTACATCATATATGATAATTCCCGTAACTTAAAGTGATCCAAAGAAGTCATCAACATGTTAAAAAGTTCACTACCTCTTGCTTCAATTTCATGAATGCATATATCCACTACCATTGGTCTCTGTGCGTTATGAGCCTTCACCAGGGTAGTGAGGTCACAGCAGTAGACGCGCTTGATCCTTTTGAGGTCTGGTTGACAGTCATTGGGAACATATTTTGAACACTGTTTGTGTACATTCAATCCACAGTCTGGAAAGAAAGTATGAGCAGTAGTTTTAGTTGTTTTAATACACTTGAATGAAGACATGCAGTCAAATATGTTATCCTGCAATGTCCCATGTATATTAATAATGCTATATATAAATAACCATAAACCCAAATATGCTTATCACAGCAGGCAAAATATATAGAGGAAGAAAACCCTATATAATTGTCTAGTAATGTGATGCACATTAAACACATCTCAGCAATAATTACATCTGAAGAAAATATTGATGCCACCATGTGGAGGACACCGGAAATGTTCCTATATTCCAATTTTTCCATATCAAACAATATTATTTGAAAATTACTTACAATCCAGATCACATTAACAGTGTGACAAGTCAATGGATAACAATTTCTTTACCACTCTTCAATAAAATTACTAGAGCAGTCTGAATGCAAGAGACAGAATAATTTAAATACAAATCAATGGAACAAGCAATCATAAAAACAAGAACTAAAAGGTGCTAATGACTGAAAAGCCACACAAAAAGGCAAACAAGATGTTGGGAAAAGAGAGCTGCATTTGCCTGCTTCTGAAAGGACAACAAAATAGGCACTTGGACATTTTTCAGAAGAGCATCTCAAAGTTGTGGAATTACCACTGAGCAGAAAAGGTGTGTAGGGTCTCTTTCAGCCTAAGGGATAGATTCAATTTTAGAAATGTTCTCAGACACAGTAGTGGGTAGTGAACACCAAAGGTCAAGGGGACAACCTTCTTGGCTACTAAGTGTTAGGAGAAGTATTTCAGCCTCTTAAATGGGGAATATTGCACAAAAGCCAGGAAACCACCAATCACTGGCTGGGGAAAAGAGAACAGGTATTTGGAGAATTCTAGAGAACAGGATTTTGATCTGTGGGCCAAAGGACCCCCACCCCTTGCATAGAGGGAATAAGGGAAAGAAGATAGGAAAACAGGCTGTGAAATATGTGATTTTCCTAATGGGTTGAGAAGAAATGTCAGTGAACTCTATCCTGCCATGAAACATCAGTCATGATAACTGGCAAGCTACATACAATAGCAGGAGATAATTCTATATCAATAATACAGCTCAATATTGTGATGTGCCCAAATTTTAGTTATATATAAAATTGATATTTGAATGCTGATGTGAACTCAGCTATGCCCCTGTCTGGACAGGGATAGCCTGGCTTTAGAAACCTATGCTCCGGACATCTCTAAATTTGATTACTGCCATGCATGCTACATGGGGCTGTCCTTGATGTCTGTTTGGAAATGGCAGCTTGTGCAAAATGCAGCCAGACTAATAAAGGGTTCAGATGATCTGATCATATAACACTAATTCTAGCCCACCTGCATTGGCTGGCTATGTCCTTCCAAGGCCAATTCAAGGAACTGGTGTTGGCCTAGAAAGCCCTACATGGCTTAGAACTGTAATAGCTGACAGAATGCCTCTCCCACTCTTCTTATACCTGGACACTACGATCAAATTCTGGGGTCTGTCTCCAACTGCAACAAGAAAAAGGGCCTTTTCAATGGTGGCCCACAGTTATTGAGCAAGTTCCTCACTAAGGTCCACCTGGCACCAACTATCTTTTCGATGCCAGACAAAGCCCGTCTTCTACTGCAGGGTAGCTTCTGGGGCTTTTGAGCTGCTAATAGGTCTGAATGTTTTTTATTTTTCTTTGTTATTACATGCACACACAGAAACACGCACCTGTTTTTGTACTGTAAACTTTTAATATTAAAATTATATTTTAATATGTTTTTAGATAATTTATCTTTTATCGGGGGTTTTCAATGTGCTTTATGAACCAGACAGCTTTGGTTGTTGGGTGGTATAGAAATTTTATATTTATGTATCAGATACATTGTTCCTTTGGGTGCCATTGAACAGCTCTTTTATTGCAATTGCCTAACTGCTGTCCTTTTAGCTTTGAGGTTTTCGGAAATGAACTTTATTTTTTTGTTTACTGTAAATGCTTGAATTCGCTAAGGTCTGCTGCTCCAGAAAGGAACTGAACCTGCTGGAACAGTGCACATTCTGGGCCCAATTGAGATAAGAGCTTGGAATGGAACCACAGCCAAGGTGATGCTGTTTAAAAGTATTAAATTAGGGCTGTTCTATCATTGATCTAATCAGACTGGCACAATTTATGAGTCAGCAGACTGAATACCGCCCATCACCAATGAACTGTGACATTCACATTGTTTGGCACCCTTGCCTCACCCAGTGTTTTTTCACAGAGAGCAAAACCAAAATTTACTGAGCCTTGCTGGGCCAGCATAGAAGACTGGTGAGTCACAAATTGTGCAGGTCTAAGCTAGATACTGCTTTTACAGTTAAAAGTAACAAGGAAAGGCAATCGCTGTGCTGATGGCAAGGAGATCTGGGCATACTATAGCCAAAAGTGTTGTGGTTAGGACCCTTAGGCCTCAAACTAGGTGTTGTCTTTGAATCCCCTCTTGAGATTTCTCCTATTTTTTTCTTTTCAACAAGCAGTTACTGGGGTCCTTCAGCAGCATGAGAGAACTACACTTGTATGTGAGCTAAGGTTTAATCAGTCTTGCATTAGGTCTAGTGTTGATGCATAGGCAATATAAAATAATAAAACAAAGTGCCAATGAGCACCTGTAGGCTGCCCTGCCCTTATTAGATTAAAAATAGCTCTTTGGTATCTATAAGACCTCTGTGCTTTGAACTCTGTTTGGTTTGATTGGATTCATTCAGGCAAAAACAACTGCATAATGCATTATTGTTCACTGAAATCTAAACAAATCCAGCCAGCTGTACTTAAGGTACTGTCCTTATTGTTTTTGGAGTTCTCACTAAATATTTCCCATTCAATTAAAAACTTGTTTGTCTGCTTAGAGGTTTACAATTTACAATTTTAGCAGGTGCTCACTGGAGCTTTCTATGTGAATGCATCTTAGTGCCAGGGTTCATTCTTGACACATGTGATATCATAATAACATGTCTTTGCACATATACAGACTGCTCTTCCCTTACCAAACAACCACAATCAGTGCCCATACAGCTCAGAACAAGGCATAAATTTGCAGAAGCAGAATACAAGAAACCCTGCATTTCTCAGTTTATAAACTAAGTACATGGCCAGAATCATCCCAGAAGTTATAATAACTACCAAGTCATGAGGGTCCCAGTTTTCCTTCTTTCTTTTTTAATATTGTATTAAAAACCCTAATAATTGCTTTTGAGTCCCACTGGATGTGCACATAAGGAAAGGTCCACTTAAAGGCTCTGAAGTATGTGGTTAGTCCATGACAGATTCCAGAGTAGAAAGGCAGACTTTGGTACTTCGGTATTCCCTGTCCCTCCCCATTCAGCCTCCTTCCAACTCATTGGACCACTAATTTCCAATAATCAATATTATTCCTCTTTTCTGCTATTGACCTGCTTTGCTTTTAGGACAGACTATCTGGCTCAGCACAGAAGGCAGTGCCGTACATAATCTGATCAGCTCTGCTGATGCTAAAAAGAATTTGCATCAAATCACTCCAGTTTGATTACTATTATTAGATTGAGTCATGTGAACTTTGCGTAACTTACAAAGTGCGTAAGTGCATGTTTATTCAGAAGTGAGTCCCTATGCTCAATGGATTTGCTAGCGGAAACTTTATAGCATTGGCCCTTCTAGGTTATTTAATTTTATGAGTTAAGACTTGTGTTGTAGAAGTGGCACAAATCCCTATCTGTTTAATAAACATAACCACTGAACAGAAATGTCCGCTGAATGGTAATGTAAGCTACGTATTAAGTGACTTGTATGTATTAAGTGACAGTGTATTGTTGGATAAAATAAAGTATGCTGTTCCCACCTTAGATCCAAGAGCTCTTGGACATAACAGTCCTTTGCTGCCCATCTCACTTCATTCTGGAGCTTTTTAACTTGTAGCTGGACCTCTTCAAATGTCCTACAGTCACAGACCTGCTCATCTAGTTGCTTCCTTCTGCTGTAACGCACCTTTCTTCTTCCTCTTTGTGCTTTCTTTAGAGCCAAATGACACATGATGCTAAACGTGCAGCATCTAGCTGCATCTTTGTTCTTCAGTGTATTTCTGTGGGCAGTACATAGAGAGGGCAGATGTACCTCTTTCCTCCCCAACTACGCTTGGAAAGGAAATTCTTCTTATCACGGTCAGCAGCTTTAGAAAATGAAAACCCCATTGGTCCCAAAAAATTTTCCCTCACCTAACCTTTCCAGCTTCACGTATGTGTTGGGGATTTCCATTTTGAATGCAGCTGGCCCATGCTTTATTTAAAATAAGAATTACATCTGATACCACTTTTACTTAACGTACAAAAATGCATACATGCCCCTGATGGCTGGGAATGATGAAAGTTGCCACCCAATAAACTTGGAGGGCACCAGGTTAGGGAAGGCAGATGTGGCTACATGCTATGCATTGAAAGTAATGTGTACTTTGGCCCTCAGTGAATAATGGCCACCAGGCCCTAATGAAAAGCATCAGCTCTATGTTCTGCCTCACATTCAACTAAGACCTCATTTTCAACCCCTGGGCCATGCAATGTTTCATCATCTTAACAGTCAACTCCCTGCTGATCTTCCCTAGGGCACAGAAGTATCCAGCTCACTTTTGTAACCCCACAGAACCCAACAGGCAGAAGTTTGTGTTCTAAGGCGTTACTGGATGAGGAAATTCTCTTCCATCTATTCTAACCTCAAACATGCTACCTTTAGGAATGTGAAATGCTAGCTCATAACATAAATTTGATATGCAGCAGAGGACAGGTGACAGTGACATACCAGGGAAAATGTTGCCTGCATGTCAAGCCTCAAAGTAATTTATTTTCTATACTCCCCTTAGCCAAAAAAAGGCTCTCTGAGCAAGTATTGTTGGTTTATTCTAGACAGTTAGCAAGCCTACTGGCAAATGGTGTGCAATGTTGATTAAATGGCAAGAACTAATAACAATACTATAAGTACTAGTATCAGTAGGTTGGTCAGTGCTGCCTTACAATCCTTCAAGATCGTTAATTCCCCATATATTAAAAGCAATTTGTTTTCATAGAGAAACTACCATTTCCCAAATGGTAATAATATCTCATCCTATTAAAAGCCTGAGCTTCATAAAGAAGAAAATTAAATTTCACAAAGTGAAATGGGGTCATCTTATTTACTCAGAACCATCCGTTGTTATAATTATATCCACCATGTATTTGCAACTACATACAGTACTTGCAGAAGTATTCACTCTCCTTTGACTTTTCCACATTTGTTTTGTAACAACCAGGAATGGAAATGGATGTAATTGACATTGTTACTACTTAATGTACACAAGATAGTTAACACTGTAAAGGTGTGAAATATGTTTATTGTGGCACAAAACTAAACAAAAACATTCTGGCACTTGTTGGTATTCACGTTCCCCTGTCAATACTTGATAAATGCACCTTTCTCAGCAATTGCAGGGACAGGTCTTCTTGGGTGAGTCTATCAGCTTTGTTCACCTGGTCCCTGCAATGATTTACCCATCTTCCTAGCAGAAAATGTTTCAGCTCTATAAGGTTGGAAGGCTACTGTTGAGCAAGAGCAACTTTTAGCCTTTGCCCCAGTCCCAGGTCTCTGGCATACTAAGTTTTTCCCCAGGAATTGCCCTATATTTGCCTCCTCCCATATTGCCCTCCATCACCAGTTTCCTAGTCCCTGCTGAGAAAACACATCTCCACACACGTTGCCACAATCATACTTTACCAAGCGGATGGTAATCTCAGGGTAATGAGCATATTGCCTTTGCATCACACATGGCATTTTGCAGCAAGGTCAAAAATTTCATCATCATCATCATCAATGATATTCTATATTGCCTGTAGCTGAAGCTCTCTGGGTGGTTTACAATATTAAGTCACCCATCCAGATTTCAACCAGGTCTAACCCCGCTTAGCTTCCAAGATTAGACAGGCTCAGGACTTTAGGCTATGTAGAAGCATGGCTTTTTTTGTTTTTGTTTATGTTTAGTTTACTTTTGTGCCACAGTAAAAATATTTTGTGCCTTCACAGTGTTGAGTATCTTATGTATATCAAATGGTCAACAATGCCAATTAAATCAGCAGCAGTTCAGGTTGTAACACAAAAAATGCTGAAAAGTCAGAGGGGCGAGGTAAATGCTTCTGCAAGGCACTGTAAACACTCTAAATCCAGGAAGGACAGAAGGTAGAGCTCTCTTTGCTTTGGACTCCAACCCCCCTGCCAGCACAGCTGATGGTTACAAATGCCACAAGTTAAAGCTCAACACATCTAGAGATTTTTTCTTCTGCTTGCTCCTGCTCCAAATGAGGATGAAATTGCGGAAAGCTGTAAAATATCGGGTAATTTAGGAACACTTTTATCACTCTTCATGACCCCTTGGATGAAATTTGCATTTCTGTTTTTCAGAGAAAGAAATTGAGACAAAAATATTTAAGATTACCTGAGCATCTCACTCCCTGAGCAATGAGTCCCCACATGAAATTAGCACAGTATTCACACCAATGTGGACCTCGGAATGTGTGGACCTGCAACACAGAAAGGTGTGGGGGGTGGAATCCAGGATCATTAGGAGGCAGATGGTTTGACAGATGGAGCAAGTAGAAGGAAAAGATAAGCACTGAAGGACAAAGTTAAGAACAAGTCATCCTCACAGCCAGCCATATTCCAAATGATGAGGGTAATAACAAACCCAGGAAAAAGAAAAGTGCATTCAGTACAGTATATTGGATCACAAGAATTGTCTTCATTTCCCAAGACAAAAACAAATTAAACCATAACACACAGTAAAACACTGAGATAAATCTACTTAACTTTATCTTTAATGTTATTTCCATAATAATGTTCACAGTTATTAAGGAAGTTAAACACAAAAGTGCAGGGAGGAGCCATAAATCAATGGTAGAGTCCCTGTTTCATCCATGTCATTGCCAATAACACTGAGAAAGACCTTTATCTAAGACTCTGGAAAGTCACTGTGAGTAGGTGCAGATCAGAGGTTGGCAAACTGATGCCCTTATGGACTGTAACTTCCATAAGTCTCAGCCAGCAGGACTACAGGTCAGGGGCTATGATTGTAGTCTAATGCATCTGGAGGACACCAAGTTAACTACCCATGATGTAGACAATATTGAGCTAGGTATGGTCTGTCTCAGTGTAAGGCATCTTCATATGCCCAGCTGTCTATAACCTCACATTGAAAACATTACATGAAAACAACATGGATACATTTCAGTAGAACTTAGAGCTAGTTTATATGTTACAGCCTCAGGGTTAGATACAAATTTAGTTGTAGTTAGAACTGACCCAGTGAAATCAACACGACAAGGTAGTCCAGGTCAATTGATATCAGTAAGTCTACTCTAAATATTACTAAATCTGTAGATGCTGTTTCAAACACCTATGTTGTTGTTAGTTGCGAAGTCACGTCCGACCCATTGCGACGCCATGGGCAACATTCCTCCAGGCCTTCCTGTCCTCTACCATCTCCCAGAATCCACTTAAGCTCACACCAACTGCTTCAATGACTCCATCCAGCCACCTCATCCTCTGCTGTCCCCCTCTTCTTTTGTCCTCACTTGTTCCTAGCATTAGGGTCTTCTCCAGTGAGTCCTTCCTTCCTTCAAACACCTAAACACGGTTGCTATATTACTATGTGGATTGAAGTACAAATTGATCCAAATCTATGCGCACACATTTACTCAAAAAGTAAAAGGCAATTTCTACCATGCCACTGCAAATCTTTCTTTTTGTTTTATGAACAACATGGGGCGTCTGTGGCTGTGCTGTTAGCAACTGCTGCCACTTAGAACAGTTGAGGCTACACAACCAGCAGAATCAGGCAGTAAAGAGGAGTGTCCACCATCAGGCTGCAGGTGAGGATACCTTTTCAAAATGCTCCTCCACTTAAATCTCCCTGTAGGTAAAACAACAATTAAAGTACATTGAGGAGAAAGGTTCTAACCATTGCTGCAGCTAGGCAATTTTAGATCCTAAACTTAGAGCCTTTATATATGAGGCATTTATTGTGTTCTTGTGATTGTGGGTACTTTATACAATATCCTCCTCTTCCAGAGCCTCTCCCATTTTTGGCAAGAATTACAGTGAGTATGTGTTTCCAGCAAGGAATGGCTGATATTTCCTTGAATGGTAGTATGAAACCCTGGTGCATTTGCATGATTCCATTGCACAATGTCATCTAGTGGGTGTGTAATGGAATGCATAAAAATGCAAAGAAAGAAAAACACCAGGGAAAAAAACATGAATAAAAAGCCAATCTTAATCCCATAATAAGCTCAAAAACACAAGCCTTGGTAAACTGGTGGGATAAGTGTCAGACAGTCAGGTATATTGCTTCAGTTGTTAAGCACAGAAGTAACAATTCTTCCTCACTCCCATCCCTAGCAGCATTATTCTTTTCTTTGCAATGGCTTCTATATCCTTTAAATGTTAGAACAAAAACAGTACTGAAAAAATTGTTCATCCTTTTGAAAAGAATTCTTTCAACATGTGCAGTTTTGGATTTTTAACTTCAATCCTTTATGACAGAAAGAATATAATAGAGTTTGCACTTGCTGTATTGATACCCAGTGTGAGCCAGTGTGGCGTAGTGGTTAAGAGCATGGGACTGGGACTCAGACGATCTGGGTTTGAGTCCCCGCTCAGCCATGGAGCCAACTGGGTGACTTTGGGCCAGTCACAGACTCTCAGCCCAGCCTACCTCACAGGGTTGTTGTTGTGGGGATAAGATGGTGGAGGAGAATGATGTAAGCTGCCTTGAGCCCTTTGTAGGAAAAGGCCAGGATATAAATCAATCAATCAATACCCTTATTTCTTGTTATTTTCTGGATGGTAATTTGGGGCTCTGGACTTCTGGCCCCAACATCCATCCTTAACTGCACCATCCTTCTAGGCTCAGGCTTCAACCTGATGTTCTAATTTTTCATAGTGATTCTCAGCGCAGCATTCAAAATGTACTTCTCCCACCTATAGTTTGAATAGTTAGAATCAGTTCCACTACATCTGGCCTCTGCCAGTTCATTCTGATGTGTAAATCTAGACTACTGACCTTCAAATGTATGATGTAATCAAGCTTTAACTATACGTAATGGCAGTGATTCACAGCATCTGAGCTTCCTCATTTGGACAGAGGCATCTCATCTTTTCTATGAGGCTAATGTGCAGGCATTCACTTCGTTTTCACTTGATGTGTGCCAAAGACTTCTTTCTCATAGAAAAGAAATGGATGCTTCTGTACAAAAGACTCTGGATGGCAGCACTGTGCATTTCAGATTGTGGTACCAGGCTGTAGATTGGACTGCAAAGACTTGTATTAAAGGAAACAAATAATTCATTGAATTGTACAGAACCTTTTGATAAACTACATTAAAGACAAAACAAAGGGGTAAGATTCTGAAAACTGGGAACCCTTTATCACGTATGAAAACAAAAAACTGATTAATATCCTCAGGCTTCCTAACATTACTGTACCTGTTCTTGATGCTCAATTTCCATCCAGTGATGTCAAGAGAGTTGCCTGCACTTTTGAGGACACTATCAGGACAAATTTCAAAATGATGCAAAATATTTTTTTAAAAGATGTGAGCACATTTTGAACTATAGACCCATCTCAGGAACATAAATTCTGTGCAAAGGCAGACCAGTTTTCTGAGCATATTAATTCTAAGAAGAACACTCTCTGTTGAGTTTGCATGCCCAAAAAATGCCCATTTTTTATTAAGAGGAAGAACTAAGGCACAAAATGCTTTGGGGTTGTTTAATAAATATTGCTTTGCACCATTTTGGATTATCTCATTTTTATCTAAGTACTTGTTTTTGGGTTTTACTTTTCTGTGATACTTCAGGACAACATTTTACTACTGCAAGGGTGGGCAGGTTATTCTCATTAGCTTTGAACAGCACAGGGGAACACAGGAGTTGCACTAGAACAGCTTCTGGGAGAGCACAATTTGCCCACCTCAGTAAATTTGACATAGTTTTATTAGTCATAATAAGACACATTTATGTGATTGTTGCATAAATCTTTATACAATTAACAACACTAAGCATTACAATCAATAAGCAAGAGCATCATTGTAACTTTTGACTCAAAGGGAATAAAACAAGAGGTTTGTATAGACATTCCAGGCAATGGTGGGACAAATACCAATTTTTGCATGTCTGAATCAACTACAGACACAAATAAGCTATTTTTGTCTCATTTTCCTCTCCAAGTTCAATAAGTAAACTTGTTTGCTGCAGACCACAAAATGCGAACAGTTCCCTATTCAGGAAAAAACACAGCACAATTTTGCAGCAAATGTAAGCAGTGATAATGAACAGCACAATGAGACAGATGAAGTGTCTATTTTGTAGAAAATACTAGTCTTAAATTATACATTAATGAATAAAACAGACATCTTTGGAGATTTAGAACATGGGTATGATGTGCAAAATTAAATCCTTTACAGTTTACTATAATTAGCATGACACAAAATCGCATTAACTTGGTTGTTAAAATAGTCAACAATTTTGCATTTACAGACATAGATTAAACTAACTTTTAGAGGGAGCTTGTAGCTTCAGGCCTTTTTCCTGTTTCAACTTGCACTGCCTTGCCCCTTAGTGGATTTCTAAAGATGCCAGTGTGTAGTAATGATAACTGAAACTGTATGTATTCTGTATGTAACAGAATTAGGAGTCTAATGTCCACCTGACCACTGTTCCAACAGAATGATGGAAAATATAGGCATAACCTTGAGAACATGGTTCATACTAGATAAATGATTGCATCTAAATAGAAAGTACAAAATATGCGTAATTAACCACCATGCTGGAAAGGCTTGGGAACTAAGGGAATCTTTTTCGCTCAGACTTCAGTATCTTCTCTTAGTTTCTTTTTTTTAAATATTATTTGAATTACCAATGACTCCTAAATATTCTTGTTAATACAATTTTTATAAATAAACTTTTAACTGTTTTGACCCAGGTATTAATCATTCAAGTAGTAAATATTAATTTGGAAATAGCTGTATTAAGTATGATAGTTTAATTTCATGGGTTACTTTGAATTATTTTTCTAATAAAGTTTATGGCTTGTTTTACACCAAGGGATTCAAAAGTTTATCAGGTGCACAGATTAAATAGCCAACCAGCACTTCATACACAGTAACTCCTTTCACCCACAATGGCTTTATATGAATGTATCTTCAAGTGGTTTCCTTAATAAACACAATGGCTCTCTCCATCATCATGAATGGTATTCCTATACATGAAAAGGACTAGCTTACATATCAGAACATATCGGAGACATTGCTTGATTAGACCATGAAACTATATTTCAAATGTAATGTGTCACTAAGAGTACTGATCAGTTTTACTATCCAATATGCATTTTACAAGATATGGGTCTATTTACTTGTGCAAAGCTATAATGCAATGTTTCTCAAACACCTACTGCCTTCCAGATGTTTGGACTACAATCCTAACTATTGGCTACACTGGTCATGTCTGGTAGGAGTTGAAGTCC